CTTGGTGACAGTCACATCTGTCCAGCCTCCATCTCCCCCCAGGCTGCTCCTCAATTCAGCAACCTGAACCAAGGCTGAGATGCCTGCACTCGGTTTGCTTGCTGGTAGCCCACTCTGCCTCCAGCTTTAGTAGATTATCCCTGCCAGAGGCAAGGTCTCCCTTCGTGGTGGGAACCAGCATCTGGTCACTGCTGTGCCTCTTACTGAGCCACCCAGACAAGAGCATCAGCTGCCACCCTGCCTGGAGTGACCACGTGGTGAGGACACCCAGCCACCAGGCGTTCTCTTACCACGCCATTCCTGCTCTCCACAGAGTACACGGTGGTGGTGCGCGAGTCTGTGTTCCCCGGCCTCTTCGTGCTGGGGATGTTTCTCTGGAGTCTCGTGGAGTACTTCATCCACCGCTTCCTGTTCCACATGAAGCCCTCTGCTGACAGCTGTTACCTCATCATGCTGCACTTCGCCCTGCACGGCCAGCACCACAAGGTGAGTGGCACAGGTTCCAGCCTGGCCCTGCAGCTGTGCCTCGTGCCAGGAGTCACAGGGCTTCCTGGGAGTCCAGCAATGGTTGGAAATGAGAAGAAGCAAGGGTAGGGGACAGCCCATGAGCCAGGGACTGGGTCACGTGTGCTCAGCCTCTGCCTCCGGGCACCATCTTTAATCCTGTCTGCAGCTCCATTAGTCACTCATCTGTTCATTCCACAAAGGTTCCTGAGTGCCCACTACGTGCTAGAGATCAGTGAACAAAACTGGCACAATTCAGCAGGGCATGGTGGTGCACATCTGTCATCCCAGGACTTGGCAGGTGGAGGCAGAAGGATTGCCATGAGTTCGAGGCCAGCCTGGGCTACATAGTGAGGTCAAGGTCAGCCTGCACTACATAGGGAAACCCTGTCTCAAAAAACACAGTTTTCAATCATAGCTTGTATGATGTAGAAAAACAAACAAAAATTGAAGACCCTCATGCTGCAGATACTGAAGTTAGACCCATCTCTCAGGCCAGTTGGGGGCCAGGAGCTCAGTCATAGTCAGGATTTTCTTGAAGGCTGGGCAGGGAGGTACCTCCCTGATACCCCCAGAGCAGACCTGCTTTCCAGAGCCCTGCGCAGTGGCCACTGCAGGGAAGCTGTCCTCGGCCAACCTGTCACTCAGATACTGCTATGACCCAGGCCCAGAGCATGCTTCAGCTACTAGATACCTCAGCACCCTCAAACTCAGTGATCCTCCTGCCTCAGTCTCCTGATTGCTGGAAGTGTTGGGGAGCCTTAATCCAGCCATGACCCGGAGCTGGCTCAGGCAGACTCTGGAGTGAAGTGCTGCATGTCCCTTTCTCACCCCAAGCTCTGTGACATCCCCTAAGCAGCTGGAAGTGGGCCCCAGTGGGAGTTTACACCACAGGAGCTGGCAAATGCCACACCTGTGTCGCTCCCCTTTCTCTAAAGCCTTTGCTCACAGGGGCTCCCAGCACACCCTCTGCCAGCAACAAGTTGCTTACAGCCGTGGGCCTGCTTCCACCCCTTCTCTCTGACCAGCAATCTCACTCAAGAGCCAGGCCCTCAGCCTGTGGAGTTGGTGACAGCATCTCTTTGGGACAAGAAGGGCACCAGTTTGGAGATGGGGGGTAGGGACCCTCTTGCCAGGATATTGCGTTCATCCTGATGACCTTGGCCTCAGTGTCCTGAAAGCCCCCAAGCTGAGGGACCAGTACCAGGGAGAAGTCTTAGAAATGAGGAGGAGGACACTCTCAGGCTTTTAGGCATGGGGACCTGCCGGCGCAAAGCCAGCTGTCCCCTCACTACCACAAGTGTTGCCGCCACATCGCACCTTCCCCATGGAGTGACCACAGAGAGGCCCCGGGGCCACTCTGACCCCGGTGTCTGTACCCACAGGCCCCCTTCGACGGCTCCCGCCTGGTCTTCCCGCCCGTGCCAGCCTCTCTGATGATCGGCTTCATCTACTTGGTGATCCGGCTTATCCTGCCCGAGGCCGTGGGGGGCACTATGTTCGCAGGCGGCCTCCTGGGCTACGTCCTCTACGACATGATCCATTACTACCTGCACTTTGGCTCCCCCCACAAGGGCTCCTACCTGTACAGCATGAAGGCCCACCACGTGAAGCACCACTTCGCCCACCAGCAGTCAGGTGAGGACGGCTCCTGGCAGGGCACTGGGCACGCACAGAGGGCCCCACCAGCAGCCCACTGGTGCACACAGCTGCATAGACATAAACAAGGAAGGCAATAAATAGCAAAGATCATTTCAGGCAATGATAAGTGTAATAAAACTAAGTGAGAGGGGCCAGGGAGATGGCTCAGTGGAATAGATGCTTCTCTGGCAAGCACAAGGGCCTGAGTTCAATCCCCGGTTCCCCAAAAAGAAAAAAAATTAAGTGAGGTGGTATTTGAGGAACCAAAAGGTGGAACAAGGGGCATGGCACTGTCCAGCAAAATATTATATGATTCACATATGCACTTAGAAAGTTTCTAGTAGCCACATTAAGAAATAAAAATAAATCTGGGCTTGGTGGCACATGCCTGTAATCCCAGCACTTGGGAGACTGAGGCAGGAGGATTATTGCAAGTTTGAGACCAACCTGGCCTACAAAGTGAAGTTGAGCTCAAGGCCAGCCTGAACTAAATGGTGAGATCCTGTCTCAAAAAGATAAAAAAAAATAGGGGCCAGGGAGATGGCTCAGTGGAATAAGCGCTTGCCTGGCAAGTGCAAGGGCCTGAGTTCAATCCCCGGTTCCGCAAAAAAAAAAAAAAAAAGATAAAAAATAGGGGCCTGGGTGGTAGTAGCTCAGTGGTACAAGCGCCTGCCTGGCAAGTGCAAGGTTCTGAGTTCAATTCCTGGTACTACCAAAAAAAAAAAAAGGCCAAAAAAACCCAAACCAATAAGTAAAAACTAAACAGATGAACAAAACTTAATGGAGCCGGGGAGATGGCTCAGTAGAATAAGTGCTTGCCTGACAAACGCAAGAGCCTGAGTTCAAGCCCCGGTTCTGAAAAAAAAAAAAAAAAACAACTTAATGGAATATTTTTTTTTTTAAATATTTATTTATTTTTATTTATTACATTTATTTTTATTGTGTGTGTGTGTGTGGCCAGCTCAGCCCACCAGGGGGCGCGGCTGGCTGGCATGTGGTGCTGGGGATCGAACCGCGGTCCCTGTGCTTTGCCAAGCTTGTTTCAAGTAGGTGCTTTAGACCACTGAGCCATCTCTCCAGCCCTTAATGGAATATTTAATCCAGTATAACCGAACCATTCTCATTTCAACATATAATCACATGCAAACTCTTCACAGGAATATTACATTCTTCCTCTTATACTAAGTCTGCAAAATTCAAGGTCTGTTTTGCGCTTACAGCACATCTCAACCCAAAAGCCAAGTTTTCAATGGAAATAACTGATCTGTATCCAGATTCTGTATATTTTATCTTGAGTTTACCTTCCTCAGTAATGGAATCAAGCATGTGTTTCTAATTGACATCGAAGGGGCCCGGGAGATGGCTCAGTAGAATAAGCACTTGCCTGGCAAGCACAAGGGCCTGAGTTCAATCCCTGGTTCCACCAAATAAATAAATAAATAAATAAATAAATAAATAAATAAATAAATAAAAATAATTGACATCGAATTCCATTTGAACCATCAGCTGTGCTGGCCCCACTCCCAGGCACACTGAGCTGGCTACTGAGTCCAGGCCTGGTGGCCCACGCCTGTAATCCCAGCGCTGAGGAGGCTGAAAACAGGAGGATCACTCTGAGTCCAAGCTGCATAGCAAGACCCTGTACCAAATACATATAATAATAATAATAATAATAATAATTCCAATTGAATGAAATAGAAAGTCAGTTCCTCTGTAGCTGGAACTACATTCCCCAAACTCACAGTAACCACACAGTCCAAGATAAAAAGGTCCAGGAATGGGTCACTCTGGTCCCATTAGGGTTAAGAGCAGCATATCTGAGATGGAAACAAGCCTTGCCCAAGAGGAAAGAGAAGCAGCAGAAGAGGAAGATAGAGACCTCTAACCTGGGGACAGTGGAGGCCGGTGCCCTGCCCTCGCTCTGCCAGACAGGCCCCACGCTGAGATTGGCCTTCTTGTCCTGCCCGGAGCACACTGTCTGCTGCCTCCCCAGCACCTCACCTTCTCCCCTTCACTGGCTCCTTTCTAGGGTTCGGCATCAGCACGAAGCTGTGGGATTACTTGTTCCACACCCTCACCCCAGATGAACAGCGGCTGAAGACCCAGTGAGCTCCCCCGTGTCCTTCCCACCTTTGGCAGCGTGGCCTGGCTCTGGCTTCTGCCCCGTGCAGTCCCCTCCAGCTTCACAGCCTGGGCTTGGTACAGGGGCCTGGGGTCTCTCCAGGCAGGACTGTCCTCCTGGCCCACCACACAGGAGGGTCATGGCTCTCCCAGGGCAGCCCACCCTCCTCACCCACGTCCCTACCCAAGCCTCAGCCCGCAGGACTACTTAAAGGCGCAGCCAGTGTCCCCGGGGGCATGAAGGAAACTGACCTCGGGGCCAAGGTTGTGCCCACTGCCTTAGCCCCTGGGGCTCCCCAGGATCCCCACAGAACAGGGTGTGTGGGGCCTGGGCCCTGTCATACCTTTCTTCTGTCCTGGCAAGGGTTTGGTGGCTCTGAGGTGAATGAAAGGCTCTCACAAGACAAGACAGCATGACACCTCCCACGGGCCACCCACCCCACCCCACCCCCGGCCCCAGTGCAGTCCCCTCAGCTGCCATCTGCCATTCACAGCCAGCAGCCCTCCCCTACCTGGGGAGGCGCCTGAAGGGGGCTGGCAGAAGCCCTAACCCTGTCTTGGGGACACCCCAGCTAGTCCACCCACCTGTCCCCTACCCCAGAAGCACAGCATTTCTCCCCAAGGGAAGCTGCAGATGCCTGTCCTTTGGTGGGAATGCCTGCCAGCCCGAGGTACTCTTGGTCCCCACTGGCACAGATGGGCGCTGCATCCTCCAGGACCTCCCAGAAAGTGCCTCCTCCAGCCCCTGGAAGCCTTTGTGCCTTGGCTCCCCCAACACCAGACTTCGGCAGATGAGTCCTGCCTTTTCCCATAACCAACACCCTCCCTGTTCTGAGGGTCTTATTTATAAGCAATACAGATGTCCTAAACCTGACCCAGACCGAGGAGCTTCCCGGACAGCCCTTCTAATCCTGTGCGGAGCTTACATAAAAAGGAAGAAACATTCAGCCCTGGTTTAGTCCCCTTCTTACCCACAAACCACTACTACTTGAAACTTAAAAACTTACCGAGTGGAAAGGCTGAAGTGAAGCAGTTTGACCGATCCTGTGATTTGTACTGTTTACTACAGGCTATTTAAAGATTTTGGAATATAAAAAACTACACTTGTGAAATACAGATGTAAATGAATTGTATATTTTGAAAAATAAAACATTGAAATCAACAAAGACGCACTACTGTTTATTGGTGGTAACTATCTCGGGTGCCATTGTGAATGGAATGGGGACAGAGGGTCCAGGGTGGCCAGTCCAACAAGGAGGATTTTGTCACTGATCAGGTTGTATGGAATTCCTGGGACATGGCCATAATAAAGCCCTCTCTCTGTCCTTATAGCTATCTAGCTATCTGTATTTTTTTTTTTTAACAGTGGCAAAGTTTTATTAAAGGTAAGGAAAGGGCTGGTGAGATGGCTCAGTGGTCTAAAGCACCTATTTAAAACAAGCTTAGCAAAGCACAGGGACTGCGGTTCAATCCCCCAGCACCACATGCCAGCCAGCCCCCGCCCCCTGGTGGGCTGAGCTGAGCTGGCCACACACACACACACACACACACACACACACACATAAATAAAAAATAAAAAAAAATAAAAATAAGGTAAGGAAAGAGCAAGTTTGGGCCAAGGAAAAGCAGCACAGCCTACAGAGTGAGGGCGACCACCATGTGAGAGGGAACAGAGTGGCCGGGAGAACACAGTGGCAGCTGAGTCCTCCTACCTCTCAGCTTCATCACTGCTTTTAGGCTCTCTGTAAGACGTCATCCCCTCTCACACAACACCTTCATGTACCGCTGGGAAAGGGTCTTTTCTGGAACCTGTGCAACCCCAGCTGAGACCCATCCAAAAAGTTTAATATTTGCACAGGAGGATGTTTTAAATTCCAAGACCAGGGTACAGTGACGCACACCCGTAAGCCCAGCACTCTGGAGGCTGAGGCTGGAGGTCATGAAGGCCAGCCTAAACTACACAACCAGACCCTGTCTTATCAATAACTAAATCAGTTCTGACCGGGGGAAGCAAATGTGCAGGTTGCCTGACCCTGAGTGATCCTGCCATTTGCCATGACTGATTCTCCATCAGAGACACAGCGGCCGGCCAAGAACCCAGAGCCCTTGCATGCCTGTCTAGTACGACATTCCCAGCTGACTGTCTTTGGGCGTTTCCCAGCTGACCTGAGCAACATTCCTTCTAATTCGGCTTTGTTCCATTCCTTGGTTGGTCTGGCCTCTGAGGTGTGCAGCTGAATTTGGTATGATTTCTTTTTGTACCCAACCCAATGACCAACAAGTAACCCCGCCAGATAACTGTTAGTCTTGTCTACCATCATCTCTGGCCAGTGTGAATTACATCTGGTCGCTGCCTCGCCACCAGCTCCCTGGCCTCTGCTGCCCTCTGGTGGCAGTGTGCAGCCCTGCGCCATCAAGTGGAATTGATTTTCAATGCCAGCAAAGAATCTAGCTGGGAGTGGTGGCCAAGACTGTAATCCGAGCACTCTGGGAGACTGAAGCAGGAGGATCATAAGTCTGAGCTCAGTCTAGGGAATTCAGCAATTTAGTAAGACCATGTTTCAAAATAAACTAAGTGTTGGGGATTGGTGAGATGGCTCAGTGGCGGCGGGTGGGCTGAGCTGGCCACACACACACACACACACACACACACACATAAATAAATAAATAAATAAATAAAATTTTAAAAACTTTAAAAAAAATAAATAAACTAAGTGGCAAACGCAAGGATCTGAGTTCAATCCCTGGTCCCGCAAAAAATAAATAAATAAATAAATAAATAAATAAACTAAGCGATGGGGCTGTAAGTCAGCCAAAGCCCTGGGTTCAATCTCCCATACTGATGAACAAATAAATAAATAAGAAACTAGAGCTGTGTATATGATCAGTCCAAAAAGCTGTAATAGCTACAAAGTTTCACTAGAATTTTCTTTACAGGTAGGTGCTTTGCCCACTCAGTGAACTGTATCTACAAAGGATGCTGCAGCATGAATGTAAAATTCAGAAAATTCTGGGGCTCTCATCTTCACTGGATCCCAGATATCTGTAGCAGAGGGAAAGATGTCACAAAAAGAAAACCTCTTGATCCAGTAATGCATAAAGATGAGATCCTGGGCTGGTGAGATGGCTCAGTGGTCTAAAGCACCTACTTAGAACAAGCTTAGCAAAGCACAGGGACCACAGTTCAATCCCCAGCACCACATGCCAGCCAGCCCCGCCCCCTGGTGGGCTGAGCTGGCCACACACACACACACACACACACCCCTAAATAAATTTTTTTTTTAAAAAAGATGAGATCGGGGAGTCTCCAGCTGCTCCACAGTTGTGTCAGGACCGCAGTGTAGCCGGGAGTCCTCAGGCAGGCTCGGTCGCTCCAAGTTTCTGTCTTTTTGAACTGCAGGAGCTTTTCATAGGTGTCTAAAAAAAAAAAAAAAATTTAAAGGCTTTGAATAATCTCTTTAGTGTAAGCGGAGGAAGAGAAAGAACACAACGCGTGTTTAAAATCAAGAAAGATACCTATAATATTCAATAACGGAACTTAGAAAAAATGGGGTATACCGATGAATGTCCATTTTGTATCTGTGTATTCCAAGTGGTTAGGATAGATATATGGTTGCATTCTCTTAATGAATAGAATGATTTGTTCTAATGGTGTTTGTAAATAGGATCACAAGTCCGCATCTTGTACAGCAATTAACCACTAAGAAGAATA